GCTGAACGTTAAAAAGTGCAGGTTATTTTCTAAAGAAGTTAACTATTTGGGACATGTGGTATCTTCAGATGGAGTTCGAACCGATCCCAGCAAGATAGAAATTGTGAAAGACTGGCCAACTCCAAAGGATAAAAATGAATTGCGCAGTTTTTTGGGATTTGCAACGTACTATCGACGTTTTGTAAAGAATTTTGCAAAAGTTGCCTGACCTCTCTACCAACTTACCGAGAAGGACCGAGTTTTCAACTGGAATATCCTATGCGACTCAGCATTTGAAAAGTTAAAAGTTGAACTATGTGATGCTCCTTTGCTGGCATATCCAGTTCGTGGCAAGACGTTCGTGTTAGATACTGATGCAAGTAACAACGGAATCGGAGCCGTTTTGTCACAGCATATAGACGGAGAAGAAAAGGTGCTAGCGTATTATAGCAGAGGATTCACAAAACCCGAACGAAACTATTGTGTGACCAGGAAGGAGTTACTAGCAATAGTCAATGCAACAAAACACTTCCACAAGTACCTTTATGGACATAAATTTTTTCTCCGAACTGATCATGCAGCGTTAAGATGGCTCCTCAACTTCAAGGATCTTGAAGGACAGATGGCCCAATGGTTGGAACGTTTACAAATGTACGACTTCGAGATCGTGCACCGCAAAGGAACAACTCATAGTAATGCTGATGCTCTCTCACGTCGACCATGTTTACCAGGATGCAAATATTGCTGTCGTCACGAGGAGAAGATACAATCGGAAGACATAAGAGCAACAACAATATCAGCGGATGACGGTTGGACACCGACGGATCTTGCTGATGCACAGTTTGCGGATGAGGACCTACAACATCTGATTACATGGAAGAAGGAGGGCAAGCGACCGGACTGGCAAAGCATCTCAGAATATAGTGCCGTGTTAAAGGGTTATTGGGCTCAGTGTGACTCTTTGTATTTGGAAGGGGATTTGCTGAAACGAAAATGGGAATCACCTGATGGATCAAAACACCGCATGCAAGTTGTAATACCAAGAAGTAGAACGACCGAAATCCTTCATGAAATGCATGGCGGCCCTTCTGGTGGACATTTAGGAGTGAACAAGACCCTTGACAAAATACGAGAAGGATTCTATTGGCTTCACGTTAGAAAAGATGTAGAGAGCTGGTGTCGAAAATGTAACACATGCGCTTCAGTCAAAGGACCCAAAAGAAGGCTAAAAGGAGCAATGCAAATCTACAATGTTGGTGTCCTCTTTGAACGGATTGCTATAGATATTGCTGGACCCTTTCCGGTATCAGATTATGGAAACCGTTACATTCTGGTTGTAGCGGACTATTTCAGCAAATGGCCTGAGGTGTTTCCAATACTCAACCAAGAAGCATGTACCGTCGCTGAGGAAATTGTACTCAATTGGATTAGTCGATATGGTGTCCCATTGGAACTCCACTCAGATCAAGGTCGAAATTTTGAGTCACAACTGTTTGGTGAAATGTGCAAGCTGCTGGGTATAAACAAAACTCGAACGACACATTTTCACCCACAGTCTGACGGTATGGTGGAACGATTCAACCAGACCCTGATTGAACATCTGGCTAAAGTAGTCGACGAAAATCAACGGGATTGGGATCGTCATATACCATTGTTTCTTATGGCATACCGGAGTGCTATCCACACAACTACTGGAGAAACGCCATCAAGAGTTCTGTTTGGGACTACCTTAAGAACTCCAGCTGATGTGAAATATGGCGTACCACCTGAACCACACCAACCATTAACAGAATACGTGGATAATCTTCGACAGCGATTAAACCATATCCACCGTTACGAACGCTTTAAAATTATGAAAAACACGGAGGCGGCCAAAACCAGATACGACTTGAAAGGAAGCAGTGGCGGTTTTGCTGTCGACGAGTTAGTTTGGCTGTACAACTCACAGCGAAAGAAAGGACGTTCTCCAAAGCTCCAGCGAGGGTGGGAAGGACCTTTTCAAGTCATCACCCGCTTGAATGACGTCGTCTACCGTATTCAGGAATATCGGAAGCCGAGAGCAAGAATGAAGATCGTTCATTTGGATAGACTGGCTCCGTACCATGCGGACACCGGAACGAAAGCTGTTCGGGACGAACAGAACTAAGAAGGGGGTAATGTTATAACCGTGCTACCAAACGCACTAGATTCTAGCGTATTCTAGAATGTTCTAGTGACTGGAACGTTCTAGAGTATACTGGAATCGGACCATCTGGAAGAATCTAGAAACGACGATTGCGAAGAGTATCTAAGCGCACGTCGCAAGAGATTCTTGATTAGTGATATTCGTGATTAGTGATATTCGTGATTAGTGATATTCGTGATTAGTGAAATTCGTGATTTTGTGAATAGCGATTCGGTGAATTATTTAAAGCGATATTTGATTTGTTTGTTGACGTTGTCATAGCGATCGATTTTGAACGATTTAAAAGTTAATTGTTGCGTTAGTTTGAACTTACTGGAAATAAACGATTAGTTGATTTCTTCTGTAAATAAAGTTTAATAACTAATAATAGTTGATTTCTTCTGTAAATAAAGTTTAATAACTGTTTGGAATATTTTATTCAATCGAGGATTTGAACCCGTCGCATCGTAAATCGGTTACGATAGCGAGTATTATAACAATATGTTAACAGAATTATAAAAGTTGATCATAAGTGAACAAACTAGGTAAGAAGGTTTGAATATTAAGTTAGACATTCAAACAAATTAAACAGATCACCCAGGTTAATTATTACTTTCCTAGTTCTACTGATCATAAAGTTATTAGGGCCAGGGTGACGGTTATTAAAAACATAATGTAAAACTTGGAAAACAATTATAATTTTGAAACTTTTTCATTTAAAAGTTAGACATTGGATACTTATAATCGAGAATAGCACTGCACATGCTATCAATTCATTTAATAAATAATCCATGCAAGAAGTTTATCAAGAATGAATAAATTAAAAATAACCTACAGGAATATGTTTGCCTGACTTCTGGTCAACGAGAAAACATTTGAATTCAAGTTGAAGATGCGGATGGACATCAGTGCCACTCTCAACTGCAAAACAAAATTTGAAATTAAGTTACAGTACACTAGCCAATCTGATCAGTAACAACTGATCAGCAAAAACATCAAAAAATATCTGTAAACCAATGTTGCTTGTGATTGTGAGTTTCGTGAGTGCTAGCAATATTAAAATATTGTAAACATCATCCGACTAGATGCAGATATTTATCTAACAAATGAAAAATACCTAACCTGATGCTTGCTGCTTGTTGATGACCAATCCGCTATGCTGTCCACCTGCTTTATGGGCCACCTGGATTCATCTAGTAG